CTCGTGTGTACCCGAAAAATGAGCCTTTCATACTCGCCCAACAAGCAGCGCAGATTTATTATGCAGAATATCCTTCAACAAGGCGGACACAGAATCCTTGGGTGTGTGCATGTCCTGTCCGTCCGAACAAAATAAAATCACAAACTCAACACAAGGACGTTGATCTAGATGCTTTTCAGCAACAATTTTTCCAACCTCCGCCTATTGTTGAGACGGTCAACTATGACATCCAATTAAGTGATCCAAATGGCGGACGTGTTGAAGTCATGCCAGAAACGCACCTTCCGGACCCAACCATTCCATCTGAGCGCGAAATTGAGGAAATGTATGTAGCACAACAAAACGCTCAATATCAGGAAGAAGGTGAATGGATAGACGGTTCAGATACAGAAGAAGATACTGTATATGTAGAAAATGACGATTCTGATAGCGAATAATTGTGCTGTTGTAATTTCAATTTTATTGACTTCTAATATTTGTGCAGATTTCTTCATCATTATATTACTCCAACAATATTTGAATTTTTTTCTATCTTTATCATTATTATTTATGAACAAAAAATTACTCCATATTAATTCAACCACAACAAGTTTTTTATATCCATATTATAAATTCAAAATAAAATTTTTCACAATTCGAAGTTTGAAAATTAAAATTTACCCAATACAAACTATGAAATTACTCTATATTATATTCTTTTATTTTCAAATTCGAAAATTCAAATATTATTTTTGATTTTTCTAAATTCGAAAATTTATTTTAATAATTTTTAATAATTCGAAATTCGAAAATTAATTTTAATAATTCTAAGTCTATTCGAAAATTAACAAAATTCGAAAATTAAAAAAAAAGTAATTTACTTTTACTAATCTGAATATTATAATAAATTTAGATATTAATAAACAACTAACACAGATTTATTTATCAAATTTCAAAGATAAATACAAAACACACAATGAAATTGTCACATATTATTTATCAAACAACTAACATAGATTTATTTATCACATTAACCTAACTAACATTATTCATTCCTCAATCGGAAACTTTCAAGAGGCCTAGCCCACAACTCCTGAATTTTCATTCGAGCTTCTTCGTTGATCGGGTCCATATACTCTGAAACTTCTTGTGCACGTTGAAGCATCCGACACAAATTTCTTGCTTTTGACTTGCCCAACGAGTCGGATTCTTCATCTTTATAACCGCCAAAACTTTCAAGGGGTCTAGACATCAACTCCTTGATTCTCTCGTATGCTTCCACGGTTTTCGGCTCCATAAGCTCTGTAATCAGCTTAAGTCGTTTCATATCTCTACACATCGAATCCCAGTCAATTGGACCTCTATTAGCCATTTTTTTTTACAGTTCAGTCTTGGGCCGGAGAAAGATGATTTATACTACAAAATTTCAAGTTGTCACGGTCTTAGACACGGATAATTCCGTGACTAACCTGTCAGTCTGGCAGCCGGAGAAGTGTCAGGGCCGCCGGTCTAGTCACAGTTTTAACCGTGACTAGAACCGTGACTAAATTCAAAATTTGAATTAGTCACGGTCTTAGTCACGGATAAAACCGTGACTACACCGGTCAAAGGCGGCTAATGCCGCGTGGCTGATTTCGTTGATTACGAAGGGTTTAGTCACGGATATATCCGTGACTAAATCCGTGACTACACCGATATATAAAATCAACACTTAGCGAATTTTTTCATTCCACACGCCTCCAAACCCTATTTTCCTCTCAAACTCTTTTCCTTCTAACTTCCCCTTCCACCGCCGTCGTCCTGAGTGCAGCGCCGCCGCCGTCCTCCGTGCACTGCCGTTGTCCGCCGCCGGTTGCCGCCGTCCACCACTCCTCTTTTTTCGCACCTCTCTCTCCACATCAAGGTTATGTTTTTTCAATTAATTTTTTACTCACAAATGCATGTTTATGTACTCAAATGCATGTTTATAATTGAATGCCCTAATGATGTATTCTACAATTACATATTTATGTGTATATACATTTAATATGATTATATGTGTATATGTTTTTACGTTTATACACACAAATGCATGTTATTATTATGTCCGCATTACAATATTAATTTTGTAATATTGTAATATTAATTTCACATTACAATATTAATTTGCATGCTCAATATTAATCTCTCCACGATTATTAGTTTTGTTTTAATTTCGAATTACAATATTAATTTGCATGCTCAAAGTTGATAAAATTTATTTTTTCTTTTTTGTTTGATTTCTAATACGCATGCTTTAGATATAGTTTGATTCAATTTGATTTTTTGTGTATAAGTTTAATATGCATGCCTAAATATGATTTAATTTTAGGTTAAACAACATGCATGTTTTTTCGATCAAATGCATGATTTAATTTCGGACTTATGCATGAATTATTTAGACATTGTTAGGATTATTATTATTTTATCATCAATCAAATTTATTATTTCCGAATTATTTAAAAAATACCCCCTCATGTCAAAGTTCCAAAAAAGTTTAACATGTTAATTATAAAATATTAATTTAGACATTAAAAACTATTTTCCGAAATAAAATATAAAATATATATTATAAAAAACAGTTTAATAATATACTGTTTTTTATTAAACAGTTTAATAAAAAACAGTTTGACAAAAAAAACAGTTTAAAAAAAAACAGTTTGATAAAAAACAATTTAATAAAAAACAGTTTAAAAAACAGTATAATATTAACAGATTGCAATCAAATAAAATCAGATTTTAATAAAAAACAATAAAAACTGCTTTCCAAAATAAAATATAAAATATAGATTATAAAAACAGTTTAATAGATAACTTATTTTTAAACCGTTTAATAAAAACTTTTTTTATTAAAAAGTGAAATATTAATCATTTTTAAAGTTTAAAACAATCTGTTTTTCATTTTTTATGAAAAACAGATTTTTTATTCAACAATTTTTATTAAAAAGTGAAGTAATAAAAAAACAGATTTTAATAAAACTGTTTATATAAAACTGTTTTTATAAAACTTTTTTATATAAAACTGTTTTTGTATAAATTTTTTTTTATATAAACTGTTTTTTTATAAAACTTTTTTTTAAATAAAACAGTTTTATATAAAAACAGTTTTGTATAAAAACGGTTTTGTATATAAACGGTTTTATAAAACATAGTACGAAAAGTTAAAAAATAGTACGAAAATGCAAAAAAATATATTTTTTAACATGTACGAAAATAAATGTTTTACACATTTTCAATTGATAAAACTTGTATAAAAATTTGATCTTCTATTATGATCATACTAACATTCAAAAATATCCCCTCATGTTAAACTTCCAAAAAAGTTTAACATGTTAATTATAAAATATTAATTAACACAGTCTAAACTGTTTTTCGAAATAAAATATAAAATATAGATTATTAAAAACACATTAATAATATACTGTTTTTTTATTAAACAGTTTAATGAAAAACAGTTTGATAAAAAACAGTTTAATAAAAAAAAATTTAAACTTGCCTAAAGTTTAACATGTTACATTTTATAACAATTTATAAAATTACCACCCCTCATATTAAACTTACACACAGTTTAATATGTTTTACACATTTTCAATTGATAAATGTATAAAAATTTGATCTTCTATAATGATTAGACTAACATTTAAAAATATAAATTAATATATTTTTGATGAGCAATGAACAATCAACCTCGCGTACCCGCCCAAACTATGTGCCCTTAACCGAAGCTGAGCGCAACAATGAAAATGCGCTTTGGGTGACGCCCCACATGGTTGCGAAGTAAGTAACTATGAATTTTATCTAACGTGAAATAATTTTTTCAATGTATCATAATGTAATCAAAACTTTTATAAATAAATAATATTAATTTTCTGAAGCGATCAAGAAGTGTTGGACCAAATCAAAGTCATAATTGGAGGACACTTTCTTGGAAACTGGGCAGCATACACAGAAGTAGACCCCAAGGTTCGTGAACTTTGGTGGAACCTTTTCAAGGTAAAAAAAATGAATTTTCTCTGCGTAATTGTATTAACGTAACATTTGATAAAAGATAAATTAATTTATTTGTTTTTTATAAAGGGTCGGTTTCGATGGACTGAAGCCCAAGGTCCAGCTATTCTTAGAGCGTATAACGCTAGGATTTCAAATTGGCTTCGTCCTACTTTTAGGTAGACCTGTCAATGGGTCGGGTCCGGGTCGGAACGTAGTGTTCCAGACCCGGACCCGCTAAGTAAATAAAGGACCCGGACCCGACCCGTTTACCCGGCGGGTCTAAAAATTTGGACCCGGACCCGGACCCAACGGGTCTCGGAACCGGGTCGGGTAGACCCGCCAAGTATCATATGCACAACATTATATAACTTTTTTTTGACAGAACATTATATAATTTTTTAAAAATAGTAAAACATGTATATGAAATGTAAATCAAAGTGCACAAATTTAAGAGCAAAATATATCTTCACTTTTCAAAAAAAAAAATCAAGGTTTATCATAGAAAATTAGTACTTTTATTCAATAAAATATCGGTTCTTGTAGATGCGTACAATTCCGCACTCTGTGTCTCTTTCTCTCCCACAGAAAGCTCGTATATTAGACTAGAAATTAGGTCACAAAAAGTTCTTTTGGACTAAAAGCATATTATATACTACGTACTATTTTATTATCACTTATACATTAGGTATGTATTAATTTGTTTCTTTTTAATCAAAGAATTAAAACTAATCACTTTATATATATTAGTTTGTATTTTTATTTGAAGTATTATAACAAATCTCTTTATGTATTAGTGTGTGTGTATAAATACTAATAAGAAATTTTAAACGGGTCCGGGTCCTTAACGGGTCGGAATCATAAGTACCATACCCGACCCGTTTATTAAAAGTACTAACGGGTCCAGGTCCGGGTCCGGATAAACGGAATAAAATAAGGACCCATATCCGTTAAAAACAACCGGGTCCGGGTCGGGTCCGGGTCTAGACCCGACCCATTGACAGGCCTACTTTTAGGCGTGCCCGAACGAGCGGGGTAAAGCCTGGATGGTGTTCGGATGAGGTGTGGGCTAACCTCGTCCGTCACTGGTCTTCTGATCCAAACTTCTTGGCAAGAAGTCAATCCGGTAAGAAAAACCGGATGTCCGAGAAAGCCTTAGAAACCCAATGGCATGGGGGCCGCAAACCTCAGAGTAGACATAAAGAAGATCTTGTAAGTATTTTTCAAAAAACTTTACACAATTACAACCCTTTATTTTAACAATTAATTATGGATCTTAAGCCTTTTTTCCAAATTGTAGTCGGGGCCTGAGAAGAAGAAGGTCTCAATTCTCAAGGTCATCAAGCACTGCTGGACAAAGCACGGCGATGAGTCCGATGCCGATCTGCCACCCCGCCTCGCTGAAATCGAAGTAAGTAACACTATTTTGTTACTTATTTCCATTCAAAATCAAATTGAGTAACATTAAATTAACAATTTTTGTACATGTAGTCAAAGTATAACACAAATGTTGAGAAGAGGCGGGCAGAATTAGGCTTGACTCAGGAGGATGAGATTGATTCTGATGTGGAGGATGATGCCATCTTTGAGGCAGTTGGGGTGTACAAGGGCCGGGTCCCGTGCATGGGGGCTGAGGGGCAACGGATCTTGTACGACCGCAGCGGTGCTTCATCTTCCCGATCAAGGCGCGGAGAGGATCCGCGTATCGCTCAAATGCAGCGGGAGATGGAGGAGCAGCAGCGGGCCTTGGCTGAGCAGCAGCGCACCTTGGAGGAGCAACGCAAAAAAGAAGAAGAAACAAGGGCCCGGCTGGAAGAGATGGAACGGATCCTCAGCGCCGGAATTCGGAATCAGCCTCAGCCTCAGCCGTATGTACTGCACCCTGAGCAGACACCTCAAGTTCCGCACATGGGCGGTTATTTCCGTACCAACTCTGCTACCGGGTTGCCTTCATTTGGTTCTATTCAAGATATCAATTTTCACAACCTGTTTCAAACATCTGGAGGCAGCCAAGCAGGTGGCAGTCGCGGAGGAGGCAGTCGTGGTGGCAATCGAGAAGGCCAAGCTGGAGACAACCGAGAAGATGAGACCGAAGAAGATTATCTATATGATGATTCTAGATATTATCATAATGGTAACCGGAGGAGCTTGTAAATGATATACATTTTTATTTGAACATTGTTTATTTACTATAATTCTATTGTGCTTATTATTACTTTTATTTCAGTCTGTTTGGTTATGAAATGTGTGTTCTAGTAGTCTGTTTATTACTTTTATTCTACAAATATTTTTTAAAATAAACTTTTCTAAAGAATAATTAAAAATAAATTTATTTTTTTTATAAAACAAAAAAACTTTTTTTTAAAAAATAAAAAACTTTAGTCACGGATCCGAGCCGTGACTAAATTCTAGACCGATTTTTTAAAAAGTTATTTTGCAAATTTATTTTTTTTTTAAAAAAATAAAAAAGTAGTCACGGATCAAGTCCGTGACTAAAATTTGAAATTTGAAAATTTAAACCGTAACATTTGGCGGTTCAATTTTTAAATTTGAAAGTGTAGTCACGGATTAGTCCGTGACTATATTTAGTCACGGAAAGGGCCGTGACTAAGTCGCCGGTGTGAGTATTCCGGTGACAAGTTAGTCACGGAAACGGTCCGTGACTAAGCCGTGACTACGCTAAGTCACGGATAAAATGACCGTGACTAGAATTAGTCACGCCCAAACAGTCACGGATTTAGTCACGGACAAAGTCCGTGACTAGCAAAGTTAGTCACGGATTTTTTATACTACGGTCCGTGACTAAATCCGTGACTAACTCCGTGTTTTTTTGTAGTGTAGTGTTGCAACTCGAATTCCAAAGCACGAATGTCCTGACTACTAAAATTTTTAGGATAGAAATTCCTTGCAAGAGTACAAATAACATCGACATTGGATGACCCATATAAATTTTCAGGATCCAATGAAGCACTCAAAGAAAGGAGTTTTACTGATTTATCATTAAATCAGGTCCTTAACTCCATCAATACAAAGTCTACTGCCTCATTGAAAACACCAAAGTGATAATGATGTTCAACTGTAGTTTCTTTCTGCAATGACCAACCGTATATTCAAAATTCAACTTCGGTACATGAATTTCATGTTTTGAGCAAAACTCCTTTACTTCTTCAAGAAAGCCTTCCCATCCGTTTTTTGTCAATTCCTCTAGAATGATCGGTTGTGTAATGGAAAAATGTCTCTCATGGCTAACAAGATATCCAATAAATTTTTTCGAAGGCCTTGAGAGAATTCATTATTTTTCATCAAAAGTAAAGGATCACAAATTCAAAACGAGTAAAGGGTCAGTTTGGTCCTCGAAGTTGCAAAAAGGCGTCAAATAAGTCCTTATATAGAAGATTCTGTCCGGACGTGCCATTTGAGGTGGCTCCCGGTGGAATTTTGTGATAAAATTTTTTGAACATCTTATTCATTAAGTCTAGTTTACTCATACCAAATTTCAGCTAAAAATTCAATCGGAAAGACATTCAAATGAATTCTTGAAGATAACAGCGCTTTTAACGGCACAGTTATCTTCAAGAATTCATTTGAATGTCTTCCCCATTGAATTTTTATCTGAAATTTGGTATGAGTAAACTAGATTTAATGAATAAGATGCTAAAAAAATTTCATCAAAAAATTCCACCGGGAGCCACCTCAAATGGCACGTCCGGACAGAAACTTCTATATAAGGACTTATTTGACCCCTTTTTTGCTACTTCGAGGACCAAACTGACCCTTATCCCAATTCAAAACATGAAAAGTGTTTATATGCACTACGAACTTATGCCCGAGAACTCACTTTTGGGCAATGTTTTTGAAGATACTCAAGAACTTTAAAAGTGGTTGTGAACATGTCAATAAAGTCCTTATATGTATATACTTAGTGCCAATTATTAAGTATGAGGGTGATGTGTATAACATTTAGATTAGATTTTTAGATGTTAAGATTTTGTATTATGGGCTGGGCTGAGAAATTGGACTGGGCTATAAAAAAATTTGGGATGGGCTGGATGCAATTTTTTAAACATAATACCTTAAAAATAAATTTGTTTTTTACTTTGCCCTGGGCTTCAGCCCACCATAGCCCTAACATAGATCCTCCCCTGTCTACAGTCAAGGCTTATGTATTTAACTTTTGTTTAATGATTTGTTTATACACTAGTAAAAAAGACTGCTTGCAAAAGTCGTATAATCATGTAATATTTTGCAATAGTGGGTGCTTGATCCAGGTTAGCAAAGAATACTTTGCAAGTGCTTATGTATAGCCAGGAATATATACCCAAGAATGGTGATAGAGAAGCTAACTGCTAATAACATACGAAGTATTAGATGACATATTTGCTCTATGACGATGCTGCCAAAATCAGTTTTACATTAATTTTGATGTCAAATCAATTTTAGATGAACATGCAATATTAAATGTTGATCTCTTATATGAACATGCCTGCTATCATACTTGTATGCGATATTAATGAGACGAACCATTAATAATAAACTGCATCAAGTGAATCATATATTAACAACAAGAGTTATATGTTAACTTAAAGCCAATTAAGTATATCCAAAATACTTCACTCTGGAAGGTATCAACAAGAGAGAAAGACCTTAATAGGACCAAAACAAAGGCTGGGAACTTAAATAGGAGTTGGAACTTTTTAATCCTTAAATAGGACCAACTTTGGACAAAAAGAGACAAAAGTACCCTTCCTTAGGTACTCGTACACTTCAACGCCCAAGAGGGCCTTCTTGCACTGTTTCTTCTTTCGTATTGCTTGATCTGATTTCCATGGGCAACCTAAACGATCAGATCCAATCAATTTCTCACAGCCGTTTCAGAAAAACAGCGAAATCATTCTTCATCCTTCCAAAATGGCAAAATTTAGCTTCACGAAGGCGCTCCTATCCGCCGCCGCACTCACCGTCTTCTCTGTGATTGCTATGGCCTATTCTCCCGCCTCTACTCCAGCAGCAGCACCTAAAGCCGGCGGCGCTTTATATTTGCAGATCTGCACCGCCGTGATCGGAGGATTTCTTCTCAGACAGAGTTTACCGCTTATTAATCTACATTCTCAGAGTTTTACTTATAATATTCCATTACTCCATCTTGTCTATATTTATTTCAGATGTAATTTAAGTGTTGTTTATTGGTACGTTTCACCGGTATGAATGTATGATGAGTATGTGACTGCTTTATTTCCGGTGATGTCTTTGAGACGATTCCCGTGATGTATACCTAGTACTCTGGGCATTAAATTCGCTTTCTCACCTCCGTTTAGGAGGGCCTCGGGCTCCGCCCTGCCGTCATCTCCGTTTTCTCATCCCGTCGCTGCCGAGTTTCTGTACAATAAAGCCCATCCGCCGCCGCCGCCAATGTATCGCCATGATGTGCTTCCGTAGCCTCGCCGCCGCAGTTTCGTGTTCGCACCACCTTGGTAGAATTTGTACGTCCATACGAAGAGAGAGACTTGGCCCTTCAGTGGGAAGTTGTGGAGTGGTAGAGACGAGTAGCAAAGATAAGAATTAAACGGAAGAAGAATCGAGGAAGTCCAGAGGTGCGATGGTTGGCCGTCGTTTCTGTTTCGGCTGCCGTCACTTATGTCCTCATCCGCGCGAAAACAAAGATGCCGGAGCGGAGTTGAGAAGCTTCTTACACCAGACCGCAAGAGATTGGAAAAGCACATGAAGCGCACGTCTCAAGCAAGGGCAATCTTGGTATTCAGTAAAATATTAGTCCTATTTCCGTTTAAAAAAGTGAGTGGTCTTATAGGGTGCATTTAAGTAAAGTTATGGTCTTATTTAGGACCATTTCTTTATCAACATTGAACCTCTTGGACTGTAATTTTATGTGACTCAAGAACACCATATATCATGACAGAGTAGAATTTCTTTTTTTTGGATGAAATGTAAATATATATTAACACCCAGAAAACTTATACATCACATGTCCTAGATTTCCTAAAACCTCCACCACCCCCACATAATGCGGGGTTGAAAGGAGGTTTTCATTTGATCTATTCTAAGCCAAAAAACCCGGTATAAGACCTGGCGCATCAAAAAGTTCAAAAAAATACATCGGTATAGCACCTGCTCGCACATCGATCAGAGGCTAAAAATCAAAACAAAGTACAAAGGGGTTGCAAAGAGCATACACCCTAAAATCAAAGACCATGCTCCATGCCACGGCATAGAAGATGTCCCTACCGCGGTGTCTCGGGTCCTCACGCCGTGGCATCCAAAATATCCATGCCTCGGCTCATCAAAATAATCATGTATTAGTCTATCCAAATCGCGGCATCCATAATATCCATGCCACGGCCTTCTACTCAAAATGTTATCAAGTCATGCGGGTATAATTTGAAAAGTATTTTATACACCACATGCTTAATTTTTGTGACGACCTCTTCTTCCCTTATGTTTGCCTCATCAAACCGAGTTGAATTCCTAGCATGCCATAGGTAGTATACCGTGGCACTAAAGGCTATCCGAACCGCTTTCCCCTTGATTTTTGATCCATTGTAGTCTTTTAAGATCCATTTGACCGAGCTAAGTAGCGTGGTCATCTCTCGTGTCATATTCAACCATTCCTTTACTTCCTCCCAAACCCTACAAGCGTAAGAACATCGAAAAAATAGGTGTGGCATTGTTTCCAAACCACCCTTGCAGAGGTCACAACGGTTAACAATATGAAGGTAACCAAGGTTATCCTGTGTAGGTAACCGGTTCCTCAAGGCCAACCAAACATTGAACGAGAATTTTGGGGGTACGTATGATTTCCATATGAAACTCATCCACGCTTTTGGCGTCCCCTTTGTCCTCAGTAAC